GCGTCTTTGACGGTTGTACCACCCTAGCTGTGGTAGATGACATGCCTTGGTCCAGACGGTCCAACCTTTGGTTGACCGTCTGGAAAGTATTGTCGAACCTCTCCAGGTAGTTTCTGATGGCAGGGTCAAGTCGTGGAGCTGTCGGGACATCCCCCGCAGCATTTTGTGAAACTGGAACTTCTTCAGTACGCTGATTAGCTCGTTCTGGCTCAGATTGGCGGGCCATTTGCTGTTGTAGGACCAGTAGGTCAAAGATTCTCCTGATGAAGGGTAGACACTAAATCAGCCCTCCTTCTAGCGCTAAACTGTTGATGCGGGATTTTGGGCACCAACTAACTGATATGTGTGCAACGTTGATTGATCAAAAAGCACACGTGAAAATGAATATATAAAGAGAAATAAATGCTATGAGAGTTTTTAAAGTGGTTCGGATGCTAAGGTAGCAAGTCCTACGTCCACTGATTTGTATTGATAGTGAGTGTGGGTCAGGTCGCAACAGCGGACTGACTTGCAAGAGATTTAGAAAAAGTAAATGTGTTGTTTACAGGAGAGAGAGAGACTGATTTTTGTAAAAATGGTCGAATCCCCTTAATGAAGGGGTCTTCCTCTTCTTATATCAAGCTGAAGCGTGTAATCATCATTAAATCCTTGGGTTGGTGTGATTGTCAGGATATAATCCGGCTTTATGTCCCATCACCTTCTTCCCAAGCTGACTTCGCACGGTTTACAGCAGGGAAATGGACGCGTGGGAGCTCCATATCGTTTGGCAGGCCTGACGTGTGTTTGTTGTTCTGACGGGAGCAGGTCATTCTCCACGTGACCCTCCCACGTCAGCCCTTACTTTCCCAGGCATAACAAAGTCGGGAAGTGGTAGTAACCAATTGAGTTGTGTTGTTCCTTCTATCATACGATATGAATATGAACAATACAAGAGAATCAAGACAAGGTACTGTGCATTATTTCATAGTCCTTTTGTGCACGAGACTGGATGATATTCCCAATGATGATTCTTTGACTTACTATGTGTCATGGGTCTGATTTTCGGAAGACAACTTATGGTGATATGGGAAGATATTCTAATGATGTTGGAGACTATCAATAACAACATGATTAATTTATGCGTCTAGTGAATGAAATAGCCGACGTGGTCTATATTCCTCTAGTATTTTGATGAGAGTGAATTTCAGGTTTTCACCAGAAATACATGATGTGACCATGATATTGTTTGAAAGATAATTGCTACCAACCAAGGGTTAAAGAATACTCTCACTCTTTGTGCCATAAAAAATAAAATATCAATTCAAGATAATTAAATCGACTAAGAGCTTATATGAAGTTAAATGTATTGACGAGTCATATAAATGGTGAGTTCGACCTCTCTCTTTGTGGCTGGATGACAAGCCCTTTAGTCATTGGGGTACACTAACTCAGGGGTTTTGTGTTCGAGTCACAGGAGAGATATCTATCCCATTTGTGCAATTACCTTGGTTTATTGAGCTTGTAGAATGCTTAAGGTTGAGTTTGTCCCATTAACTTGTTGGAGTGTGACTGTTTTGAGTTGTGACCTATGTTGGAAGAGTAGATGTACTCATGATTCCTACCAATAAATTCAGTGTTAAACAAATTCAAGTAATGGTATGAAGATACAGGATATTAATACTGTTATGTCTAAAAAATCAGGGCTGACGTAAGCTTACCTCAGCGAGCACCAATCAGAGTTTAGGAAGGCTTTGTACCGACCAGAATCTACCATGTTGCCCCAAAACAGACAAAATATGGCTGTCACCAACCCAACAGATTTAGGTTTTGTCTACAAGTGAATGGGGACTGCATACCTATCCAAACCCTAGATAATTTGAGGATATTTCCTAAGTTATCAGTCAATGGGAGGCAAGGAAGGACTTGCACAATATCTACCCACTTGCAGACTTATAATCGTCACCTTGAATTCAGTAGCTATAAATAGAGGACTCCCTCTCACAAATTCGAGATCTCTGATTTTCATAACAATCAATAGCAAAGACAACCCATGAGAAAGAGACTGGCTTAATGTTCTCTCTGAATACATAGTCCTTGTACCTCTGTTCGCTATTCGCTATACGTGACCTCTTGTAATACACTTATATAAAAGAAACAGTGGATGTAGGAATTGCTTTAAGCATCCGAACCACTATAAAATTCTCGTTGTCTTATTTATTATTAAGTCTTTGCTTTCTATTATAACCTTGTCCTAAATCACAAATTAATCATGTGTAATTTCTAAGACCTGCTTAGCACTTTGCACTTGCGAGGTCGTTGGTATCAAAATCATGCATCAACAGTTTGGCGCTAGAAGGAGAGCGACATTTCACATCAGCTCTTCATTCGATATTTCTAACTGATCAGTCAGTTGTACCTGTAAGCTCATGGCTCGAGGTCTTGAAATTGAGCGTGCCAACACCAGCAACGAGGAGACCACCCGCATTTAGGAGATTACTCCTCCCGAAGTAACTCCACCTCCTCAAAGTACTGTGGTGGGCAACCCCTCGACCTCTCAGCCCGATCTGGCTATATTGGATTATCTAGAAAGGTTTAACAACACCCTCTAAACGATGAGCCAAAGGTTAAATCATTTGGATCAAGTCGTGCCGCCCAATTCTGATAAGGTGGTGCTTTCTCCGAAAACGCCTGTAGGTCATGCTAAAGTGCGGAAACTAGCAAAAGCTCATGTTGCACGTATTACAATGCGTAAAGATAAGGGAAAACATATGGTTAAGCATGGGCCAAAAGGCTCGAAAGGGCTAGTGAATACTGGTTGCAAGACAGAAAGAATACCCGTAACTTTGCGACTCGGTGGTAGTATGTCGTATCATGAGCCACCTCATGCCACATCGCAAGGGCACTCCCACAAGAGTGTTCGACAGGGAGATTCCTACCATCGTCGAAATGATGGTTTCGACCATTACTGCAAGAGAAATACCCATTGTCCGTAGGTCGGTTCTGACCACCATAGAGGTAGGGAGAACTCCCTAAGCCATTTGGAACCTTTATAGGGCTCCAGCTAGCATGTGTCAAAGTATGCTGAAGGCTCCAACCAAGGTAGGGAAGATTCTGACCTGCGGTCCTTCCTTGATTGCAATCATAAGGAACATACCTATATTGCGGAATGCGATCCCAAGAGGGCTCAACTTTCTCAAATAGAGGAGTTACAGCGAGCTCTGGATTAACTTAGAGCTCAACAGAATGAGCGAGGGCAGGTCGTTGAGGCGTCTCTCTTTTCTCTAGCAGTTTTGACTGCTCCTCTCCTATCAAGATTTAGAATGCCCAACATGAGAGCATTTAATGGGAATTCTAATCCACATGATCACCTTTATGAGTTTAACGACCTCATGGAGCTTCACCAAGTTTCCAACTGGTTGCCCACGCCAAATGTTGGTTCAAATCGCTTCCACCAAGGTTTATCAACTCGTGGCAGCAGATATGTTCGTTATTTTTTAGACACTTCCAAGCCAATCGGAAGTTCTCAATGCCATTGAGCTACCTCAGCAACATAAGAAAGGAGACGAATGAATCTCTTCAGTCCTATATTGATAGGTTTCACACAGGAAGCTAAATAAGGTGGCTAATACACTCAAAGATTCAGTTCGGACTCTAATCATTACTGGAGTTCGCCTGCAAACTGACTTATGGAAGAAACTACAATGTGAGGATGATATTTCCCTCACTCACTTCCACAACCTCACAGAAAAATATCTAAGAATAGAGAATTCAGTGGCGGCTTTAAATCGTTATGACCGCGGGCCTTCGACTAGTGCTCCCAGTCGAAGGGAGGAAAACCAGGGAGAGAGTAGTAGAAAATTTGACCGCAAGTGGGTTAATGACGATCAGAGAAAGGGAAAGAAATAAAGATTTGAGTCCAAGAAATTCTATGTTCAAGTTCCTCATCGCGATCGTGATTGAGATCTGTTTACTCCAGTGTGCATTACTTCATAGTCCTTTTGTGATGTATGGGTCACGAGACTGGATGATATTCCCAATGATGATTCTTTGACTTACTATGATGATGATGTGTCATGGGTCTGATTTTCGGAAGACAACTTATGGTGATATGGGAAGTTATTCTAATGATGTTGGAGACTATCAATAACAACATGATTATATTATGCGTCTAGTGAATCAAATAGCCGACGTGGTCTATATTCCTCTAGTATTTTTGATGAGAGTGAATTTCAGGTTTTCACCAGAAATACATGATGTAAATGATGCTTCCTCTGAAATTAATGTACCAACCATGATATAGTTTGAAAGATAATTGCTACCAACCAAGAGTTAAAGAATACTCTCACTCTTTGTGCCATAAAAAATAAGTATCAATTCAAGATAATTAAATCGCCTAAGAGTTTATATGAAGTTAAATGTATTGACGAGTCATATAAATGGTGAGTTTGACCTCTCCCTTTGTAGCCGGATGACAAACCCTTTAGTCATTGAGGTTAGCTAATTCAAAAGTTTTGTATTCGAGTCACATGAGAGATATCTATTATATTTGTACAATTACCTTAGTTTATTGAGCTTGTAGAATGCTTATGGTTGAGTTTGTCCCATTAACTTGTTGGAGTGTGATTGTTTTGAGTTGTGTCGTATGTTGGAAGAGTTGATGTACTCATGATTCCTACCAAATAAATTCAGTGTTAAACAAATTCAAGTAATGGTACGAAGATACAGGATATTAATACAATTTAAAAATAATAATATTATACAAGTTTATTTGTATATTCTTATTCTTAGACTACTTGGTCAAGGGAACAATTAAAAAATAATAAGATGAGATCGAGTTATGTTAGTCTTATAAGGAAGGCACTTCTTGGATTAGAATTGTTTGTTTTGAGCTTCCTTAATTGTCTCCTCAAGCTCGCTTTACACTTCCCTTGCAGAAACGTATGGAGTTCTAACTCTAGTTTGTTTCAAACACACAAGTATTACTTCACCAACTAAACGTTCATCCATTTCTTAAAATAATATTATATCCATGCTTTGTGAGGACAAAGCCGAACTGGAAGCCCCTTTTCTGGTACCGGCATTGGAAAATCAATTATTATTTTTTCATGGGGAACAACTTTCTCCCACTTGAATCTTTTCACCAAATTGTGAATGAAAACAAGTATCTCCAAACGAGCATATTCTCTTCCAGGGCACATCCTAGGACCTCCACCAAAGGGAACAAATGTGAAAGGAGCGGGTCCTTCTCCTTCGAATCTACTCGGCTCAAATTTCTCCGGTTGGATGAAGTTTTCTGGATTTCTATGCGTTGAGTTAGCACTCCAATATATCTGTATACATGCATGCACAATCAAAACCAAAATTGAATTGACATTCACTCATAGGCTCGAAGCCAGGATTTTGTTTTGGTGGGGGCAAAGAAACAAATTTTAAATATAAAAAGTTATTCATAAAAATCTTCTTTTTAGAACATTAAAAGAAACAAAATTAAGAATATATTTGAGATTTGAGAACAAAATAAAATAAAAGTGGTGATAATAATAGGATTTTAGGTTACTTTAAAAAATAGAATAACCGGGTGAGCATATTTTAATTCGTTTTTCAAAGTTAGTGGGGGCATGACCCCCACTCACCCCTTAGTGGCTCTTTCCCTGTTCATCCATAAACTTAATTTGGAGAATTTGGATTTGAGATTTGAGATTATCTAACTTACTTTCCAGCCTTTGGGAATGGAGAAGCCATTGAAAATAAAGTCACTTATAGCTTCCCTGAATGCACCTTGGATTGGTGGCGCTAGTCTCATCACTTCACAGGCCACATTCCATGAATATTTCATCTTTTGGATGTCATCCCAGTTCAGCAATTCACCTTCACATTTTGACTTGGTAATCTCCATTTGTTCTATATATATATATTGAACATAACTAAGGTTAGCTTAATTTAATAACAATATTAGATTATTATATAGGGCGTCGGATTAAAGAGAAAAACTTATATGGGACAATATAAAGGTATGAATAGTTAATTTCAAAACCATCTCTCATGGTGGTGGTTTTTTATGAATGATAATGAATGGTTATTTATAAATCATGGTGTTGGACCTTATCAGCAAAGTGAGACAGTAAGGTAATCAAAGAGGAAAATAGAAATATTAATGCATATATACCCTCGAAAACTTTGTGATAAACATGAGGGAGCTCGGCGAGAAACTTGACAATGAAAGTACAAGTAGCACTAGCAGTATCATGTCCACCAACTAATAATCCTATAATCTTATCAGCAATATCCATTTCATTCATGAACTCTCCATTCTCATCACTTGTCAACAGCATTTGTGACAATATATCTTGCGTTGGTGATGCCTTTCCCTCTACAAGATCAAATTTTCTTTGTCTTATGATCTTTATCACCTCTGTCCTTATAAAATTCGCCGCCTTTATGGCGCGGTTGAACTTGGTTCCAGGCAAATCAATAGGCATAGAAATGATTCCAGAAGCCACACAATGAAAAGGCCCCAGTAATCTCGCAACATGGTAAGGGTCATCTATACTCAAAAACAGACGACAAGCTAACAAGAAAGTGTATTTTTTTGTAAGAGAGAAGACTAATATTTCAATTTTGTTTTCCCAATCATCGGTGAAGTGTCTTTGAGCCATATGATCCATGATACTAATATATCTCTGTAAGGCTTCGGGTTTTAAAAATTGTGGAAGGATTTTAAAGCGCATTTTTTTAGCTTCATCTTTGGAAGAGGTTTGAAAAGAAGATGGGAAGATTTTGTAAACGGAGTCTGGCCACCATGATATGACATTCTTATTTTCGTTAGAGAACAAGAATTTGTGTGATGCAGCGCCACAAAAGACGGCGATGGGTTCACCTAAAAGGTTGGTTTTGAATACATGCGAAGAGTATTTTGTGATGCGATCGAATATGAATTTTTCAGGGTGGCCTTTCCTTCCTGTGGAGAAGAAGTGGAGGGTTTCGCCGATGAATGGAAGACCAATCTTTCCTGGAGGAAGATTTGGGAGAGAGTATTTGGAGCTGTGGAGGTAGAAGAAGAAGAACAAAGAGAGAGTAAGAAAAGAGGCAAAGAGGAAGGGGAGTGTTAGGAAGAATTGCTCCATATTTTGAGAGTGTTTTCAAGGGAATTTTCGTTGGAATTTGTAAGCATGCATTCTTATAACGTCAGGTAATATGTCATTGATGCGCCATGTTATTTTTGAGGACCGTCCCTGAGGTTGCTACCACTCATTTCGAAATTTCTCAAAACCTCACCTCATATTTCCACTTTTTTCAACTACCTTCCCGGGACACTATTTTCTAACTCTCAAATAAATCTTCAACCACGGAAATTGCATAATTTTATACCAACTTATTTACAGTAAAAAAAAATAGATATGCAATCCTTGAATCTGATTAATTTCATCGTACAGGAGATGGACTTGGAGGCACATCTGATAAGATAGGGTAACTGTGGGTGACCACCAAAAAAATCTGATCATATATTTTTATTAACTAAATTATTGTTTATTAGTATCAAAATGTTAAAAAATTTAAATTCTTTTTGGGAGAACGACATTTTCAAAATTACACTTTTCCCCATTAATCAGGTTCTCATTAATGTTTTATCTTAATATTTGACTGAAAGATGAAAATACTTTTAAATATTTGACTTTATAAATTTTTTATTATTTTTTAATCAGCCAAAAAGTCAAATATTAAAAAGTCTAAAAAGAAAAAATAATTAATCCAAACTAAAAAGTTATGAGTAATATTATGAAATTGTTTAAAGTTAAACAGCCTTAATAATTATTTATTTATAATATCATCAATATTCTAGTACTGTTATTCAATAATCTATAAAATTTATTTTATGGAAAAATGATATTGACAACATAATATAATGTTTTTCATTTTTACTAATTAACATAGAAAATCTTAATAAATTATGAAAGAACAGCCAAGAAGCTCTTTTACTAAGTTTACTATAATGTATTAGCCATTAAATATGACTTAGACCAAGTTGTTTATACATGTTTGTCACCTAATTAGAATCCAATTAATATTCCTAGTTAATTAAATAATTAAAAGAAAAAATGTATCTTTACGCTTGAACTAATAAAAAATCAAATAAAGACTTTGACTTAACTAAATTTTAATATATAATAAACTAATTAAGAAATAAACTATTTAAGGGTATTTTCATATTTTTAGTCAAATATTAATAGAAAACACTAACAGAACCTAAAGTGTCATTTCAAAACTTGACAGGTAGAAAAGTATCATTTCACCAAACCTTGGGTGGGAAAATGTCGTTCTCTCTTTTTCTTTTTACAATTTTCTATGTAAAAAAGTTAAAGTGAAATTTTATATTCTCTTTTTTTTCTTTTTCGAAATTTATATAAATATTTTTTATGTTAGTTTTTGTAGATGCAAAAAATCTACCGTCATGAAAATAGGGTCTGATCCTTTGAGGTTGAGGCCACTGACAATCCGCTAGACCTGCACACATGAAATGGCAAATGTGAAGCTTCCGGAAAACACCGGGATGATGTTTGTCGTAGGCACTCCGACGCTCAAGTCAATAAGGCTGAAAGAGATTATTTAATAAGAATTAAGGAGATGAAGAATTACCAGGAGTCTTGTCGAAAGTTAGGACTACGGCGGAGGCGTCAGGTTCTTAGGAGCAAGAATTTTAGGAGCAAATAGATGGTTTTGAGTTGTGTAGATTGACTATGGGAGATTGCCTGCCTAATGAAAGGGCAATCCTCTATTTTTGTAGTGAACCCAAGGGGTTAGAATCTTAGTAGGACACTAAGTCCTATTTTGGGAGATAATCCCTATCATGAAAGAGATATGATTTNTGTGTGATGCAGCGCCACAAAAGACGGCGATGGGTTCACCTAAAAGGTTGGTTTTGAATACATGCGAAGAGTATTTTGTGATGCGATCGAATATGAATTTTTCAGGGTGGCCTTTCCTTCCTGTGGAGAAGAAGTGGAGGGTTTCGCCGATGAATGGAAGACCAATCTTTCCTGGAGGAAGATTTGGAAGAGAGTATTTGGAGCTGTGGAGGGAGAAGAAGAAGAAGAACAAAGAGAGAGTAAGAAAAGAGGCAAAGAGGAAGAGGAGTGTTAGGAAGAATTGCTCCATATTTTTAGAGTGTTTTCAAGGGAATTTTCGTTGGAATTTATAAGCATGCATTCTTATAACGTCAGGTAATATGCCATTGATGCGCCATGCTATTTTTGAGGACCGTCCCTAAGGTTACCACCACTCATTTCGAAATTTCTCAAAACCTCACCTCATACTTCCACTTTTTTCAACTATCTCCCCGGGACACTATATTCTAACACTCAAATAAATCTTCAACCACGGAAATTGCATAATTTTATACCAACTTATTTCCAGTTAAAAAAAATAGATATGCAATCCTTGAATCTGATTAATTTCATCGTACTGGAGATGGACTTGGAGGCACATCTGATAAGATAGGGTAACTGTGGGTGACCACCAAAAAAATCTGATCATATATTTTTATTATCTAAATTATTGTTTATTAGTATCAAAATGTTAAAAAATTTAAATTCTTTTTGGGAGAACGATATTTTCAAAATTACACTTTTCCCCATTAATCAGGTTCCCATTAATGTTTTATCTTAATATTTGACTGAAAGACGAAAATACTCTTAAATATTTGACTTTATAAATTTTTTATTATTTTTTAATCAGTCAAAAAGTCCAATATTAAAAAGTCTAAAAAGAAAAATAATTAATCCAAACTAAAAAGTTATTAGTAATACTATGAAATTGTTTAAAGTTAAACGACGTTAATAATTATTTATTTATAATGTCATCAATATTCTAGTACTGTTATTTAATAATCTACAAAGTTTATTTTATGGAAAAATGATATTGACAACATAATATAATGTTTTTCATTTTTACTAATTAACATAGAAAATCTTCATAAATTATGAAAGATTAACAGCCAAGAAGCTCTTTTACTAAGTTTACTATAATGTATTAGCCATCAAATATGACTTAGACCAAGTTCTTTATACATGTTTGTCACGTAATTAGAATCCAATTAATATTCCTAGTTAATTAAATAATTAAAGGAAAAAATGTATCTTTACATTTGAACTAATAAAAAATCAAGTAAAGACCTTGATTTAACTAAATTTTAATATATAATAAACTAATTAAGAAATAAACTATTTAAGGGTATTTTCATATTTTTAGTCAAATATTAATAGAAAACACTAACAGAACCTAAAGTGTCATTTCGAAACTTGACAGGTAGAAAAGTATCATTTCGCCAAACCTTGGGTGGGAAAATGTCATTCTTCCTTTTTCTTTTTACAATTTTTTATGTAAAAATGTTAAAGTGAAATTATATATTTCTTTTTTTTTTTCAAAATTTATATAAATATTTTTTATGTTAGTTTTGTAGATGCAAAAAATCTACCGTCATGAAAATAGAGTCTGATCCCGTGAGGTTGAGGCCATTGACAATTCGCTAGACCTGCACACATGAAAGGGTAAGCATAAAGCTTCCGGAAAACACCGGGATGGTGTTTGCTGTAGGCACTCCGACTCTCAAGTCAGCAAGGCTGAAAGAGATTGTTTGATAAGAATTAAGGAAATGAAGAATTACCGAGAGTCTTGTCAGAAGCTAGGACTACAACGGAGGCATCGGGTTCTTGGAAGCTAGAACTTTAGGAGCAAATAGATGATTTTGAGTAGTGTAGATTGACTATAGGAGATTGCCCACCTAATGAGAGGGCAAGCCTCTGTTTTTATAGTGAACCCAAGGGGTTGGAATCTTAGTAGGACACTAAGTCCTATTTTAGGAGATAATTCCTATCATGAAAGAGATATGATTTCTTGACCTTATCAAATTAAGTTTAATAGTTTAAATAAGATTTGGAATCTTAGTAGGATACTAAGTCCTATTTTAGGAGATAATCTCTATCATGAAAGAGATATGATTTATTGACCTTATCAGATCAAGTTTAATAGTTTTAGTAAGATTTGGAATCTTAGTAGAAGAGGAAATAAAATGGGATTCCGATTTCCTATTTATAGACTGTTGCAGGCTAATGGGTTGAAACCCAGTTTAGCTTAACTTATAGAATAGCCCAACTCATAGAGTGGGTAATTCGCAAGGTGATTTTAAGCGTAGGCTCAATCGGGATTGGGTTAAGGCCATGGGTCGTGACATATTTATTTCGTTATTGGGCTTTGTCAAGCCCAAGACGATTTTTGGCCCTAATAGTTTTGTTTTTACTTATCGTAAAGGTGGTTTATAGTTGTGAGATGAGTTCACATGAGTTGATTGTTTATTTTAATGAATGCTATTCCATTATGAATTTTAGAATGTCTTTGGAATCATCGGATTGTGACTTAAAACTATATCAATTTCAATGTAGTTATTTCTTGCCATCAAATTAATTTTGATTGCAAAGGTAGTTGAAGTGTCATTTTATTAATCACTATTTGGTTCTTGAACCTTTTAGATTTCTTTCAATAATGAGTGAAAAGTTTTCTAGAAATCAAGCTGATTCTAAAGCCATTAGATTTGTTTAAGCTCAATTGATAAAATTGTAGACCGAATGTACTTGCAAATCAAATGCAATAAATCTATGCTGGTCATTGAAGTGGTGAATATGTTTGGATCATTGAATTTAATTACAATTTTAGATTTTTTTTTTTTTTTTTGAGATTTTTAGTGCTAGAGTTTAGGTCGATAAGTGGAGTGTTGCATTTCTTTTACGAGAATTATTGTTTTATTAGCAAACTTCAAACTATACTCTTGTTTGTGATATATAAGTAATATACGTTCACACAGTATGAATAACTAATTAAAATAAACAATGTTATGCTTACAATTGAATCATATAACCAGACAAAAATAAAATACAGAGTAATCATTTTACATAAATTTTATGTAATTTTTGTTTGGTTGTATGAATCAATTGTAAGTAAAACATTATTGAATTAAAATTAGTATCATTATTGGAAGAATTGTCTTTCTCTAACACATAACAGCGTTAGTAGAAGGAAACCATGTCTCGTTTGACATTTTCCAAAGCAAAAGCTTGTGCTAGAATATGAAATA